ATGACGTGCAGGTGCAGGGATGTGAGACGGTGCAGGGGCCACGTGCATGGCCATGGCCGCATCAATAGCAAGCTATGCTCAGGCGAGCCGAGATGTTGGAGTGAAAGAAGAAATTATGTGATGGGTTCAGATGGTACGTATATAGGAGTCAGTGAGGAACCAGCCACCTTTCACCTTTCGAGTTCTCTGAAAACCAAACGCTGGAAGGAATGACGGAAATCCGCAACTTCGGCCCTTGTTTGTCCGAACCTCGGTCAACAGCACCGAGAAGGAAGCAAGCAAAGCTTCGGTCACACCCCATCTGATACAAGTACATGCTGACATCGGCCGATGCTAGCTTCTTGAAGAAAACAGTGGCCCATGCGCTTGAAGGGCACTACGACTGCTCCTCGATGTCTTCCGCCTCCAGCCAGAAAAGCCTGGTGCACATTGTGTTCTGGTGCTTTTTGAACTCAAGCTGTACCGAGAGTACATGCCGGATGAAAATGACACGAATGATTTGTGTTGTGCCACTACTCGGGTTGTATCCGTGTTTGTCTACAAATGTTCCACAGAGAGCGGCAGTGGCCTAGACGAGCCGGAGGCAGGGGATCTTTGGTTGTGGACGAGGCGCGTAGAGATTTCCCATTCCCAGATCCTTGCAACAAACCCTGCAGGTCTTGAGGCTGACCCATAGTCTCCATTGTAGTTCCTTGTTGCGGCTACCTTATAAGATCCTGGCTATACAATTGGATAAACCAGAAATTGAACGACCATGGAGACTATGGGCATGACTCCGGTTGATACTGAGTAGTCCCATGGAGCTGGTCCTGTTCTGATACACCCAAACACCAAGCGAAAGAGACGTCCGTGGCTGAGCTGCCAGATTGGAAGTTTGCGGGGTTCTTGGTCCCTGACTCATGCCATGGCCGACAGGGCACCTTCCCACCCCAACCCTTCCCTGTGCTGCCTTTGGTCCAGAGCCCCGCTAAACCTCGGGCTTATGAAGCGATTTTACATCAGGGTTTGGGTTTTAAGGCTGGGATTTAGCGTCTGTGAAGGCCCAAGATTCGGGTATGGGCTGAAACATTACGTGGTTACGTGCATGTGGAGCCTTGACTTCGGACGTCTAGATGCCCGTCATTCTTCAGGCTATGATGGATGCTTTGATTATGATGGTGCCTGGGCGTCACGGTCAGCTTCTGGGTTCTTCGAACTGGGATGTCCATGGTCAGTCTCGCAGATGGAGCAGATTTGACCAAACTCGTTGGAAGACCGAGCATCCGGGAGGGCCTAGTATAACTCCCAATTTCGCACCTTCTGAGTCTAACCAAGGCTTGGATTCCTAGACTCTTAGTCTTAGACGCTGCTGGCACTCAGGGGAGCTCTGCACTGCACTCCCCAACCCCCTGCAGTCCCGAAGTTCAACTCGATTCTTGCAGTGGCCCCAAACCCAGATTCGATGATCGCTGAAATTCCTGTAAGGGGTCTTTGATTCTTTCAAGGGTCCTTTTGGGTTATCATACCAGACGTCTTGGACGGAGCCGAAGCGGCTGTCTTTTGAGCTGCTGCAGGCGGGCCAACCGGGTCCGCAGCCCGTCCTCTCGAGCACTTCTGTGGGCTGTTAGGGTTCGAAGCTAGAGGTTTGGGGACACATCGGGGTTTGCGCTCACGCAACTCGGGCATAAAGGGTTTCGGGGTTTCGGGTTTCAGGGGTTGCGGAATGATGACAGGGATTTTGAAGCTCACCAAACTAGGGTGTGGGGTCGGGGTGCAGACTGGCCGGTGGAGCTGCTGTCAATGTGGTTAGGGTACGGCTTAGGGCATTTAGGGCATTTATGCTTGTGCGCGACTGTGGTTGTCACTCCTCCAAGGGCGTCCGCAGTGCGGCAATGTCTTTGCGGCCTCTGTTGACCTCGCTACAGCAAAGGGATCATGGTTCGGAGAGCGTTTACGGCTTAAGGGGTTTACTTCCTTACCCAAGCTTCAACTCCGCAAACCTGGCATTCATATCCTTCTGACATGGGTGCAAGGAACACTTCTTAAATATCTTGGGGATGGAGGTTCGGGGCTTCGGGCTTGCAGGACTGAGGGCTCAGGGTCCTTGAGCAGAGTTCGTGCTCCCCGCAAGGCCGCGCAGGACAGATTGCAAGTTCATACTACACTCTATTATCTACATCTTTTACTATAAGATACTACTTCTTGATAAACTAATGAAAGACTTCTATGAGGATCGTCAAGAAGCTTCGGGATGGACCTTCTTCACCAGTCGAGGGGCACGTCTAGGCCATCAACGTCCCTAAATCCAAGCGAACTCTCCTGAATGGCCCTTTTGCCCTTTTGATATCAGAGAGGCCCACACTCAGAGGACCCGTCGAACCCCACCATCAAGAGTTCCAGGCCTCAACTTCCTAAGTCCCCGAAAGCCTTAAGACCTGGAGACGGAGTCCCTCGATGCAGCCGGGAAGCCTCAGTGCTCGTGTGGCGCCTGCCAGCCCCGAGCGGGTGTAAGGATTAGATGCGTCAAGGCTTACGTTTAGGGCCGTTGGGCCGTTTAGCTTCATGACTCAACTTGTAGAAAGCTGACCAGCGCAACAGTCACGTGCAGCGCCATGTGCACAGAAGGCGTTCGACAGGAGACTTTGGGGTTCTTGTCCACTCTGGAGTTTAGACATCCTTGCACTTTGTTTTGGGGAGAGATTCGCGAAGTACTATCAAATGAGTATTTTTTGCTCATGTTTGTTTTCAAAACTCTGACAACTCTTGCTAGTAACGACTGCGCAGCATGAAGGATTTGCTACTGCTATTGTGAATAAAGCGCTCTCGGCCCTCCTTACAAGTAATCTGCCCTTGTACGTCTCTTGATGAATTTCTCATCGAATCACACAGTTGGTACTAAAGACATGAGCTCCAGGAAGAACGTCTGTTCGAACTCTAGATGTTCAGATCTACTTCCTGGGATTCGTGGTGGAGCTTGCACCTATTGCCCAAGTTGCGCTTTCCGGAAATTGTCGGGGTGGCCTTGTCTGGAGCCTCGTCCGTATTCCGTCCAGGAAATAGCGTGCCTGTAGGCGGGTGGGTGGTTGTCCCACTTTGCTGTTATTGTTGCATTACAGTGGCTACCAGCCACTTTCCTCCCTAAGCTTCGGCATTAGGATTAAAATGGAATTCTTACACCTGGTATAGCATCAGCTCTTAAAAATGTTAGAATGCTCCAACTCAAAAAAATCTGCCATTCTCAGCGATGGTTTGATGCTCGTTGGACCGTCGGCTGCGCTCTCGGCCTTTAGCCGTCTGGTGGTGTTCTGAAACGAGTAGGTTGAAGAGGTTGGACATTGGAGCTTGAGGGATTTGTGGGTACGTATCAATGAGGCCACAAGCCTGGCGAACTTGCTATCCTCTGCCATTGTGCATGGGATACGACTCGAAGGCGCTTCGGCTCAACGACTCCCTCCCATACTCAGCTAGCAGGTAGGAAGGGAAGTGCTATCACAACGCCTGACACTAGTATACTTGAGAATGTTGCTCATCTTCCTTTTTCGAAAGCCGCCCTACTAACACCAGCACCAGCGATGCACGATGGGTTCGAGGGCCTCGCAGTGACTCGAAGCTTTACTGTTCGGATGCCAGGGACATGGTACGTGGCTGGCGAAACCCGGGCGGGCGCTCGAGCTGGATCCTGGCTGAAAACTTTTTGTCATCGTCAAGCCTGTGCGTCTCTGTCTGTACATTGGGCCCAAGCTCCGTAAGAAACCTAGATACGTTTGTCTCGCCACGGTGTCATGACCGCGATGTTGAGACATACAATGAATCTACTCGGCTCCATCAAACAAATTCCACGCACCTGGACCAGGGGGCAGATTGATTTGGACGACGACATTGCTAATCGTCAGGCGGTTCCTCCTTACGAACTTGCATGACCTTAAAGCCTTAAAGGATGTGTTAAACTCTCGCTGCTTCTACTTCCCGGAAACGCAAAACGAGCCTTCATTTTTGCACAGTGAAGGGTCAAGCAGGGTCAAGGCCCCCATGGATACTTGATGCGAGGCTTACAGAAGTTGCTATGTGCAGTTTCAAGTCCTGCATTCCCAACGGTGGACTGTCCGATAAAAGAGCCCAGCTGGAACAGACATGTCTGTGGACTGAAGGACAGAACCCGAGCTTTGCGGCTTCAGATCTTCGGCTTAGGCATGGAGAACTGGCAAAGCACGTCAGCTATCGGAATCAACCTTTTGCTGTGTTGTTCACGTGCTGGTACTCCCAGTGGAAACCACTCGTAACCAGCACGGAATGAACCCAAAATACCCTCCACGCCCGACGAGGCCCTTGGCCTTGTGGGAGTTTTGTGAATTCTGTGCGAACTCTAGAATATGCCCTTCCGACGGCATTACAACACTACAGCCCCGGGAACTTTTCCTGCGAGCCTTACCGTGTGTAGACATCGCCTAAAACTCCCGGAGCCATGTGTGCGGTTTCGAAACTTTCCCAAAAACCCTGATGCCCCCTGCCATCAAAGCCCAAAGCCCAAAGCACACACACACACACACACGCACACCCACACACACACACACACCCACCCACACACACCCACACACACCCACCCACACCCACACAC